AAACCAGCTCTGTCCAAGAGAGAAGGACAATAAGTGTGCTGGGGCCCAGAAAGGTACATTATTCTGAGAAACAGAAATGTTCATGGGCTCAGAAACTAATTTTCTTTCTGAATGTTGTGCTCACTAAGAAATACGTAAGATTAATAATTTAGTTTTTCAGCTATCTATATAGCATATGTATTCCTCAGCATAAATTAGTGAATTGGCATTTTGGTTTATGATCAATGTCTTTTTACTTTGATTAAGAGTCCCTTCCCTGGAGCCCAATCAATTCGGCTCAGTTCCATAAACATTTATTGAGTATTTACTATGTTCCAGGCCCTTTCCTAGGTTTAACAATCAGTACACGGTCAATGACATTCAGGAGCTCCAAAGCAAGTTAGAGGAGACAGGCAATAACCAGTTCAAAAGAACATGGCAAGGATACAATCAAAGCTATGCACAAAGTCTTATGAAAGCATGAGGAACAAAGACAGCTTCACATGACATATAAGCAGAGATTTAAAGACGGAACAGCAGTTGGACCACGAAATGATTTAGAGTAGGAAGGCATTATAGGTGAAGTGAGCAGAAGAAAGAAACCACTCAGAAACATGAAAAAGCATGACGTGATCAGTGTGCAGATTATATAGGCCTGGTGGTTATATAAAAGAGAAGGGAGGGAGGCTACGATGAGCTACAAAAACCTAGAGAAGCAGGTATGCATTGGAGAATGGATTACACTACAAGCCATGATAAAGAGCTTAACTGGTTTTTTCCTGTAGGAAATGGGGAAGACGTGAGGCATTTGAGCAGCGGCATACCCAGATAAGTGTTTTAGCCACTGTGGTGGCTGTTAAATTCACTTTTTTATATATTTATTGAGGGGTCTGCTACATGCCAGGCTTTATCTGAGCAATTAAAATAGAAAGAAAATCTTTGCTTGCTTGAGGTGTAGTGAGTAAATTTCACTATGTTCAATAAGCAAGATTTTAAAGTATTAGCACAGAAAAGGGCAACCAGTAATAAAACTATTTATATCATCATTAACTACCTCTATCATCTTTATAAGCACTATAATATATTAGGTTAAAAAAAATCTTTCTCAACATCACTAGTCATCAGGGAAATGAAAATCAAAACCATATAAGATAACTATAGCAAAAAACACAGATACTAACTCTTCAGTGGGATGTGGAAAAACTGGAGTTTTCATACACTGCTAAGTGGGAATATAAAATTGTTTAGCCCCTTTGGAGGACAGTCTGGCATTTCTTCAAAAGGCTAAACATAGTTACCATATGACCTAGCAATTCCACTCCTCGGTTATACCCAAGAGAACTGAAAACACGCTTCTACCATGCAAGCTGAGCACAAATGTTCAGAGCAGCATTATCTATGCTGGCCAAAAAGTGGAAATGACTCACATGTCCATCAACTGATGAAAGAGTAAACAAAACTGTGGTAGATCTACATTATTTGCCAACAAAAAGAAATGAAATACTGACACATGCTACAACATGGATGAACCTTGAAAAAACGCTAAATTACAGAAGCCAGTCATAAAGGACCACACAGATTGATAGATGAAATATCCAGAACAGGCAAATCTATGGTGACAAAAAGTAGACTAATGGTTGCCCAGAGCTGGTAGGAGCTGGAACACAGCCAAAGGGGGTGAACCTTCTTTTTTGGATAATGAAAATATTCTAAATTTGATAATGATGATGGCTACACAGCTCTGCGAATATACTAAAAGGCACTGAATTATATACATATTAAATGGGTTAACTGAATGATCTGTAAATTATATCTCAATAAAGTTATTTTTAAAAATCTAATCTTTAATGATATCTTCAAAAATTTTATTCTCATTTCCTCATGAAACCAGATGGCATCCTTCCCAGTATATAATGTATTATAACACAGGAGTGCTATAAAATTCCAGCTTCTTCAATCTTCTACCTGGCAATTCATTTTTTCTGAGAAAACTAATCTTCCAGTTCGGCAGAAAACAATTTATTTTTATGACATCCAAACAATAAGAAAACAGAAGCTTGACCCATCCGGCATGAAAGGTGAGTTAGTCTTTCAACATCATCAAAATCTAAGGAGTTTTTCTGTCTGATGAATCAGTTTGGTCTCCTGTATGTCTTACTCTGATCGTTACTGTAAAAATTTTCAATAATTAATTTTTAGATATAATTGCTAGGAATACTAAAGTTGATGCTAAGGCACCACTTCAGTCTTTATTTGCTTGTAACCACACTCCTGTTAGCCCAGGAGTCGGATGAGGTAAACATACTGCTAAGGATGCTGAATAATAAAAGAGGGTAAGACAGAAAACTCACTTGTAAACAAAGGAAACATGTTTGCATGCATGCGTAAGGTAATGCGTAATCGTGCAAACAATAAGGGGGTTCAGGTGATCTGGTACGTTAAGGCAGTGCTCTGAATACCCCCCCAAATTAGAGTCCCATCCTCTTATTTTACTGTTTCACCCCTGGGTCCTCCAGTATTGCAGAAAAAATTCACACAGGTATACTGTTTGCCTTTACTGCAAACAACATGGCTCCAACTCCAGCCGGGATCCCATGGTCATTTGAAAAATCATTTATATCTCTAGGCTTTTCCTTTTTATACTTTCTACAGCAGCTATAGTCATTTAACTTTTTTTCTCTAGGTTTCTACCCTATCAACTCCAAGATCCATCTTTAAGGATAAACAAAATAGAGGCCATAGTATGTCTTTTCCTTCAGCCCCCCTTACCACTTACCTATAGCAGCACTCATCCTTCACTCATTCATCAGAATAGTAAATGATAATGTTTCATTATTTATTGAGCATTTTCCATGTGCCAAGCACTTGGCTGAGGACTTTACATATAATAATTAATTTAGATCCCACAACAATCTTACAAGATAAATATTTTTGGTCCTATTTTTTTTCTTAAGTATGTTTTTTATTGATTTCAGAGAGAGGAAGGGAGGGGGAGGGGGAGGAAGGGAGAGGGAGAGGGAGATAGAAACATCAATGATGAGAGAGATTGATCAGCTGCCTCTTGCACCCCCCAACTGGGGATCAAGCGTATAACCCGGGCATGTGCCCTGACCAGAATTGAACCGTGGTCTCCTGGATCCTAGGTCAATGCTCAACCTCTGAGCCACACCAGCCAGGCTGGTCCCATGTTTTTACAGTGACAAAGTGAAGCTCAGGGGAGCTAAGTAACTTGTCCCAGGTTTGTAGTTAATGAGTATAAGAAACCAGATCTGAATCCACATCTGTCTGTAACCATGTCACCCTGCCCCTGAAAAGTGTTCTAATGATGCCTGTCCCAAAACCTCCACTTCCACACGGGGACACCACATTCATGAGTTATTTTCACTGTATGACAGTTCTCTCTTTCCTAGCCAGTACTGAGGAAAAAAATTATTTAAATTGCTAAACTTAAATCAAAAACATGGCTTAACGACATCCATTTGGAAACAGATTTTTATTAAAAGTATATATATATCTCTATATTAGTTACATTAATAAATTTTAAACTCACTGTAAATAGATGATTGAGATCTGAAAAAGTTGTGGGATTAAAAGACTAAATGACTCCCACTGAGCTTCCAAGAAAAACTCCAAATATCAGGTTATGCTCATAAGTTATCATGTCCCTCTTTCTGTTCATCTACAAGAGTGGGAAGAAAAATAGGAAATTTCCTGCTTCTTAATGTTTCCAGTAATTTCTCACTTTGGCAGAGAAAGGTAGAAAGCAGTTTAGCATCACAGGCAGACAGAGCTGATAATGCTTCTTAAGAACTGTGTCTTCTCATTCATGGTTCTGACAAATGTAGGCCCTAATTGGCTTCAATGAGTTTTCTCACGTGACTTTTAATAAAAGTCCAGTCTAAGTATTTAATGGCTCATCCAAAGACATATGATTTATTATGCTGCTTACACAGAGGTTTAATTCCCTACATCCACATTATATTGAGTCTTTTATCTTAAGCTGTTAAGAATTAACTTCAAACCCTGGCTGGGTAGCTCAGTTGGTTAAAGCTTGTAGGTTGTAGGTTCAATCCCTGGTCAGGGCACATACAAGGTGCAACCAATGAATGCACAAGTAAGTGGAATTACGTATTGATGTTTCTCTCTCTCTCTAAAATCAGTTAAAAAAATGAATTAACTTCAACACTGTAATCATCATGCAAATAAGTACTAGAGTCTGACTTGTTCAATATTTTATTCCCAAAACCTATAGAGTAGATGCTCAATAAACATTTGTTGTAATAAATGATGGCAAGAAAACAAGGTAGGGAACGCTGTGTAGCCTGTTATGCCTTTTAATAAAATCTCCCTGGAATAGCTACATGAATGTCTTGTCTTGAATGCTAGGATATCAAAATGTAGAGCCTATACTATCTTTAAGCTTTATCATAAGATTAGTTTGTTTTTACAATATTCAGTTTAAAAATATTTTAAAGCAGTTTTAAAAACATTTCTCTCATCTCTTTCGATTCAAAATCAACCAAACAGTGATAAAATAATTTATATATTTTAAATTCATATACATTAACATCTTTTTATATAGTATAGCAAAATCTATAGCTTTAAAGACTGGGCTTTCTTTCATTCTTATCAGAATGTGCAGCCTCCTAAATCCAAAGAGGATGCTAGCTTTATCTGCAGTTCATAAACAGCTTGTCAATCACTGATACAATTCAAGAACTCCATACATATTTATTGCCATGCTCATTTTTAAAAAAATATTGCAAAAGATTACACACAGTGTGAGAAATGGCACCTAAATGCTAAAAAAAAACCCTGTAAATATCAATTCTCAATGGTAGGTTCCTTGTCTATCATTAAAATAAATATCAACTTCTTGTCCACTTTCAATTTTGCTGAATGCCACCCAGCTATAATGATTCAAAATACTCCATTATATTTTTTCTCTCATTTCTCAATTTTCTCCCATCCCCTAAAATCATGATTTATTTGAAAATTAAGTGTAAGAACTATTTACAGACCTCCATCCATCTTTCTGGAGATAACTGAAGGCTCCATCAACAACACTGGCAAAGAACTGCCCTCCTGTGATGAAGAGGGTATTAATGGTGACTAATCGACCTCTTAAGTTGGGTGGTGAGACCTCGGCGATGTACACTGGCACTGTCATAGAAGCAATGCCTGCAAAGAAACAATGAAAAGTAAGCATAAGACATTTACTCAAGATTTCTGCTGTTGTTATAAATATTAATGTTAGATTAAGACACACACACATGGGCTTGGTGTTCTACTTTAAACAAAGGTATACCACATACTCAAAGGTTCTTTTTATAATTGGTGACTACTGCAGATAAGACATACGTGAGATATCAATCTCTGAGTAGCAGTTTTCATATTATCATTTGAAAGCCTACAAATGAAGTACCTCTAGAGATCTCAGATAACTTTAGAATGCATATAAGTATGCTTTATAATTTTTTTAACTATGTTTTTATTCATTTTTAGAGAGAGAAGGGAGAGGGATAGAGAGATAGAAACATCAACGAGAAACATCGATCGGCTGCCTCCTGCACGCCCCACACTGGGGATGGAGCCCACAACCTGGGCATGTGCCTTGCTTGACTGGGAATAGAACCAGTGACCTCTTGGTTCATGGGTCAACACTTAAAAAATTATAAAGCCTGGCTCAGTGGTTAAGGACTAAACATAGAAAAATGCTCTCTGGACTGAATATAATTATTGAAATATTTTTAGTCTTATATGGAAATGTAATCAGACAATGGTGAGAATAAAAAATTATCAAAGAATACATATTAATTATCCAAAGTCATTTCCAGCAGATACACCAAAACTCATTGATTTACTAATAAGAAATCCATACAATTAATCACCTTATTCAATTGTCTAGCTGTACATTTCAGAAATAGTTCACAATGGACAGTACTTTGGGAATTTACTGTTTTCAAAAACCGATGATAGTTTTCTAGGTTTAGGTGTATTGTGTTATACCTCCTTTAAAATATTTTCTATCTACAACCAATGCAGCTGGTTAAATCTGGACAACTTACTTAACCTTTCTGGGTCTCCAGTTCCTCATCTATATAACAGAAAGATTAAAAGTATCCCTTCCATAGAAGTTGGGAACATTCAATGGGTTAATAAAATAAAGTACTTAAAATTGTGCCAAGCATACAGAAAGCAGTCAATAATATCGGCAGCATTTCTATTATATCACTACTTAGGAGGCATTCCAAATTTTTTATTCAGTTTGACCTGTTAGGTGCTGGGGTTATCAAAATAATAAGTAAATAAAATAAGGTCCCTTCCCTAAAGGAAGCAACACATAAACCCTACTCAAAAACATGCAGTAAAAAAAAAAAATCAAAATAACATAGTAAGGGCCAGCGCAGAGCTATACACTGCATCCTATCTTTCAGTGCTGACATTGCTGCATGCTGACAATGATTAGGTGGTAGCTAGGAAAGGCTGGGCAGACAATTCTATGGAAAAGAGCATGAGCTTACAAAAATATGAAATGACATGGGGTTTTCTCAAGGGTTGTACAGAAAACGTGAGGCAGGATATGTGTAGAGATGAAGTGGGAGAGGCATACAGGGCAGAAACCATGGATGTGGCATCCATTTAGCAGTGAGCATCCACTGAATACTTGATCTGAGCTGGGCACTGTGCTAAGCACTGGGGTCAGAGGATCTGCTGAGAAAAATGTGTTTAAACAAGTAATTACATTTCACATGTGATCGTTCTTACCAAAGGGGAAGTATGGGGGACATGAATGAGCCAATGGCAAAGGGACAGGAGGAGGAATCAGAGAAGTCTTGGATGAGGTTATATTTAAGCCGAGATCAGGGGGATGAGTAAGCTAAGCCAGGTGGGAGTGTGGAAGATGGGAGAGACTTCAGACCAGGGCTGGGGAATGTCTGACCCAAGGGCCAGTACATGGCCCATGAAATCATTTGATCCGGGCCTGCCAAGGCCTCACCAAAAAGCAGCAGTTCCAGCTATCACATTATGGGTGAGTTCATTAAATGTTTGACCAAATATAGCAGGCTAATTTTTAAGTTGATAGTTTTGCATGGCCCGTGAATGATGTTATAAATATCCAAATGGCCCTTGGCAGAAAAAAGGTTCCCCATCCATGCTTTAGACAATCAGACCAACTTTGACAAAGAGGCCTTAAGGTAGGAAGAAATACATCCTGTTGAGGGCAAGTATTTCTAGAGATGTGGGCAGAGATCAACCAGACAACACAGAATCGTTGAAGCTATATTAAGGGTTTGGTACTAAGAAGACTTTGAATAATGCAAAGGAGGAAAAGTCACAATCTGAGTCATGTTTTAAAGGATCACTTTTGTTGGAGTAGGGAAAACTGATCGCAGGGGAGCGATGAGCACAGTGACAGCACTGGAAATGGAGTAAAGAGGAGAGATCCTAGAATTAATGTATTTTGTATTTGGCTAAAGAGAATTTGGATGAATGTGAAGGATGAGGAGAAGAAGAATTTGAGGATGATCTTCAGATTTCCAGAATAAGCCACTAGGAGCGTGAGGGGTACTCTGTACAAAGATAAGGGATACTGGAGAAGCCAGTATGGGTGGGCCATAATGAGGTCAAGTCTTGGTGAGAAGAGGTGCTCTGTGAAATATATAAGTAGAGAGCAAGGAGACCACTCTGTGTGCTGGGAATATAGATTATGTACATGTGAATGTTCCCAGTCTCCCTCTCTTCTCCTACCCAATAAGGGTCTTTGCCAAAATAATCAACCTCTCCTTCATCCTTAGGGGAAATTTGGTCTGTGTCAGCCAAGTTCTTCAACTGTTATCATGCTAGACAAGAGAAAAAAGATGGAGAAGGAAACATGGGTCAAAGATCTGGTTTGTGGTAGTCCAAATAAATAAAGACTGGAGAGAATTGGGAGTGTGATGCTCAGGGTCAGCATGGGAAAAATCGGGAGCCTAAAACAAAAGAACTGACTGAGGCTTGACTGGGGAATGTGAGCGATAACAGATTTAAAAAAATATTGCTGGGTTATAACCTATATTGCTGTTAAACCTTCAAGACAAAAGAGTAGTGTTACTTTTCAATTGCTTTTAGTTGCTGGACTCTATTTCTTTAAACATAACTACAAACTGAGACTAGGCTAGCGGGGCTTGGGAAGTTATACAAATATCTGGAGTTGAGAAGATGGTTCTGTGTGGCTGGTGCACATAACTGAAACCACTGAATGGAGGAGATCTCCCAAAAATGGCATATGAGAAGAATGGCCAGAATTGAGTCCAGAAAAAATGCAATATTTAAGGAACTGCTGAAGAAAGAAACTGAGAAGGAGCAACCAGCAAGCATCCACCTACCCTTTAATGCTATGTTATTTCTGAAGTCTTTTTCTGTTACCATTTTGCATTATTATGTAAGGTCATCCTACCAATAGGTAGGCAGGACAGATATTCATTATCCCCCTAGGAAAGGAAAGAGACCCAGCTTAGGGGCAGACAAGAAGAGGTTTTCAGGAAGTCACATTATAGCAAATTAATGTCAAAGTGGCTCTCAGATCTAAGTCCCCTAATCTTTGTAATGAGCCACTTCAGGACTGAGTGTCATGCCTCTGTTCGGAATGTGACCCTTCATAAATTTCTCAGAAACATTTTCTTTTTGGCTCTACTTCCTTAGCTAGCACACATGATCTTCTAGGAGCAGGAGGGTCTGAACTTTTTCCTGCTCCTACTACCTGCTATGTGACTTACTGCCACCAAGTGTCATGTTAAAGAGCTCAGATGATACTCAAAACTGGTAACTACATGTGAATAATTGTATAATTTCGAGTGAGATAAGTTTAAACCCATAAAACTGCTCTATGAAAATGGGGAACTATAAAAAACGCTGATGATCAGGGAGAGTAGTAGACTCATGTTCAGCGGACTCACATCTGTTCATTGTGCATGTGTTACAGGCCCTGTTAACCAGCCTTGCTATCAATAAAACAACCCATGCAAACCATAATTTATGGATTTCCGAACATGACCAGTTTTGAAAAATCATGGGTATTGGGGATTTGTCACCTTCAAATCTCCTTTAGAGAAGCACATCGAATTCTGTCCCCAGACAAAACTCAGTGTTCTAATGCAGAACAGTTAATAACTTTTTATGACCTAACAATCGTGTAAGGTACTAAATATCTACTCTCCTTATCGTCCTTCCAATGACCTTCCTCGCCACTGAAGCCCCAAGGCATCTTACCTCATCCTCAGCTCAGAATGTCATATCTATCTCATTTTAACTTTCTGTCTCTGAACCTCTCTTGTATGTGAGGTGTCTGACCCTCTCATGCATGTGGGGGTCCCCATAATTATGTATGTAATTAAATTTGGTTATTTCCTCTTGTTAACCATCTTGTGATGATTTAATTATTAGACCAGCCGAAAGACCCTAGAAGGATAGAAGAAATATTTTTCCTTCCCCACAGCAATCACTAATCACATAAAATAAATGTCTGACTAAGAACAAATTCTTAACCGTCCATACTAAACTCACCAACTGGCACTAACATAAGGAAAGTAGTGGTCCAAGTTCCTGTTAAGGGAATCTCAGAGTAAATACAACCACACAAAAAAGCCTGTGTTGGTACCGGTTCTGAATATTGTCTAAAATTTTATATAAGAAAAGTTGACTTCTTACAGAATAAAAAGGTCTATAGCAATGAAAATTCATTATCATGCTTAGCAAGTAGTTTTACCAGAAAACTGCACCTCGGACAACGCAGTGAAACTGGATTCACGCACACACACACTGCCAAGGTGATTCACCACAAACAGCACAGAACGCTTCTGAGCATTTTGAAGTTGGCTTACAAAAACTGCTGGAAGCCCTTTCAAAGCCGAGTCAGAAGTATAAATAACTTCATAACCAAATAGCATTAGAAAATCCTGTTGTGATGGGTAAATACCCATGAATCACAGCAGCCTCTCAGCATGATAAGCCAGACAGCAGCTAATTAGCCTCTCAGTAGCACATGAAGCTACCTTTTAATAATAATGCTGCTTGAACAAGAAGGATTATAATGTCCTAATTTTATTTTGTAAATTATTGCCCTATGACCTCTAAAGAAAGAGTTGTAATAACGAGAAAGAGAATCTGTGTAAACAAACAGTTACGCCTTCACTGTGTTT